CCACTTTTTTACCTGGCTTTCCCCTCCTCCAATTTGACCCCCCGCAAATTGGGTCAAAAAGGATGCATTAAGGGCCAGGACAAAAGTGCTTTTATCTTGCTGGCAAGTAGCTGGTTTAAGTCAGGTCGAAGTCAGGTGCATCCTGCAAGCCAGCTGTGAAGCCCTATGTGTACTGCCAAGTTTACCTGTTTATGGTTTCCTGGAGGACACTACAGGACAAGCCCCCTGGGGTGATGTTGTGGACAGCCACAGCCACGTGGAGTTGGGGAGTCTGCAGAGTGGACGGTCTGATGGTGTCAGAGGGAGTCCTCCTTCAGAGAAGGCGGCCTGGCAGGTATCTCACAAGTGGCAGGGCAGACACAGCAGTGCCGAGGTCACCAGCTGGGAGACGGCAAAGCCCGGAAGTGAATCTGCACGAGGTGGGGGGTGCCTGCTGGGGCCTGTGAACCTATCTTTCTCCCAGCGGTTCACTAAAGGAGGTGAGAGCAGAAGGGGACACAGGGCAGCAGGGCTGTAGTGAGCCCCAGGCTGACATGCCCCATGGCATGTGAGGATTTTGCAGGAAGCAGGACATGAGAGTCTCTGGGTGCCAGTGTCCAGCTTCAGGCCACTGCAGAGGAACACAGTGGGAGAGCAGAGAGCGCAGGCCACGCTGGAGGGACAGCCCGACAAGCTGCGCTGGTGCCCTGGCACTGAGAGGCCAGGTGACAGCTCTACGTGGGGAGGTGAGAGGCTGGGTGTCAAGAACCCAGCCAGGAGCCCTGACCTGGAAGCTGTTTCTCCAGATGGATTGCAACAGTTGTCATTTAATTCTAAGATGACTGTAAGACTGTCATCACTTCCTGCACAGCTTGCAGTAAGGACTTGACACTGGGTGGAGTGCAGCTCTGTGGGGCCTGGGTCTGCCGCCAGCACCACAGAACCAAAACCAGATGGAAGCCATACTGAGCCTTGATGCCCTGGGATACTTGAGAGCCCCCTCCCCGCGCATTAAACCCACACAGTTTACAACCTTTTGGGGTTGCAGATCTCTGACTGATCTAATGACCTCTGGTCCATAGGACTCACCCTGCCATGATATTCTGCCCACAAGAGGTCCCGTTGGCCCTTGGCAGTCCTCAGGTGCCCTCTGTGCTGCTCACAGCCAGATGCCGCCCTTCCCTGGGCAGTGCTGCGGCCTTGTCCTCAACCCAGGACCTTGTCCTCCATCCAAGTAGAGGAGCAAAGGTGATGTTTTATATGTGAACTTCAACTTGAATTTTTTCTTTTCAAACAAGCCTGTGTTTGGGGGCCAACTGCAGGCCTCCCCCAAGTGCACAGAAGGGCAAAGCAGGCTCCACTTCTGGACGAGTACAGCCAGAGCAGGGGTGTGGACTGCACTGGCTGCCACACCAGGATCCTGGGCTTCCAACAGGTTTGAGTAACATTGTAGCTGCACAGAAGGTGTGTGGATTAACACTGTAACTGCATAGGCATTGCATGGGGTAACACTGTGGCTGCACAGGCGGGGTGCACGGACATCACATGGCTAGGAGAGCACAGCAGCTCCACTCACTGTGGCCTGCAACAGGCAAAGTGTGGCTCAGACCAAGGACCTGGGCTGGGGTACCTTGGGGGCAGGGGATGAGGGGTGGTAGTAGTTATACAACTGTATGCTGTATGTTGTCAAAATGTGCAGGAATGCATATTAAAAGATGGATTTTACATAAAGAACACTTACTTTGTTGAAGACTCTGGTGGGGTGCAAAATGGCATACCCTCGGCAGTGTTTAATGGAGTTAATTAAATGCACATCTCTCTGGCACCCAGAAATCCCAGTACTTGCAGGTATTTATCCAAAAGGAAACGAAACTTATTCACAGCAAGACTTGGATGGGGGCTTATACCCCTCATCCACGGAGCTCCAAATGAAAGCAGCCCTGCTGGCCACTCACGGGGAGATGGGCACACAGTCATGTGCACCCAGAAGCCTCCCGTGCAACAGGGGACACGATTCACCCACATAGTGTCCGGTTCATTTTAACCTGGCTCTGGAGCTAGGCAAGCTGCTGCACACCCATAATTCCACTCTGGGAGCCTGAGGCAGGAGATCACAGGTTTGAGCCCAGCCTGGGCAATTTAGTGAGACCCTTGAGTAAAAGGCTGAGAGTGTGTTTCAGAATGGGAGCCCTGGCTTTCACCCTTAGCACACACAGGCCTTGGACCCCTGGGCATCAGGGTGAGCTGGAAACCTGAGCCTGAGAGGGGTTGGGCTGGGCACCTGCCTGTGCTGGCTGCCAGGAGGCTCCAGTGCCCTCCACTGACAGCAGGCACGTTCACAGCCAGACTAGGCAACTGTGGGCTTGGTGCAGACCGCGCGCAGCCGCAGCCACACCCAGGGGGTGGACCCGTGACATATGTGCGTGAGTGGCAGGTTTAGAAAGTCCCCTGTGGAGGTGATGGTTTGTGCTTTTTCTGGCCACATGGGGAATTGCATCCAGGGCTGCAAGCCCAACTCTACTTTGAGACAAGATCTCACTAAGTCTCTAAGTTGCCCAGGCTGGACATGAACTTGTGATCCTCCTGCCTCAGCCTCCCAGAATGCCAGCATTACAGATATGTGCCACCGTGTCTGCTCAGCCAATGCCTCCTACAATGCTCTGCAGCAGATGAGGCTGTAGGTCCTGTCTAGGGGTCATGGCTGTCCAGGCTGCTGCTGCACTGACTTCACTCTCCACGCCCTGTGTCCCGGTTCCGAAGTGGGAGGTCACTGCACCTACTGCCCCCCCAGCCCAAGAGAGCAGGCTCTCTGCACCCTGCTGTCCCCTCCTGCTGCACCCAGGGGTTTATCATTTCTGCCACCCACTCGGAGGACTTTGCATGTGCTCCTTCAGTCTTGTCTTTCTCTGAATTCCTGTGCACACAGCATTAGTGTAAGTTGCATGTGACCGCTCCTCCCAACTTTTTATCAATTTAATTTCAGGGGCTGACACAGAGCCTCGGGCTTGGACAACAACCCAGTCAGAGCCTGGCCGCCTGGTGGCCAGGGCTCTACAGAGGACAGGACAGGTCCCAGGACTGAGTCCAGTGAGGGGCAATGCTGAGAACAGAGTTGGATCGTGGCTTCCCTCAGCTCACAGGGCTCAAGCTCTGGCCCAGGGCTTGGTAAGTGTGGACAGTGCGGTCAGCTGCTCTCAGGCCCCTGAGAGCACCCTGTCACAGTGTGGTGGACGGCTGGGTCAGGCAGCGATACCCCAGCAGTCAGATGGGCTGGGCCCATGAGGATGTAAGTACAGCCCAAGCATGGCCCGAGGTGCATTTGTGGAAGGCCAAGCCTCAAGATAAAGACAGTGACCAGGCCTGCACGTCTGCCCCAGGGATGAGCAATGTACGATAACTGGCATCACCTGGTCCAATAATGTCTAGCCGGACATCAGGCACCCAGGTGGGTGCCCAGGGCCTCCTGACCCACGCCTGTTCCTTCTGCCTGCACTTGCTCTGTGACCTGCTTCCCCTGGGATCAACATTACCTAAGCGGCCAAGTTTGGAATCTTGTTGGTTGATCATAGTTTTATCCTGGTTGTACCCACCTCATGATTTTGCTCTATAAAACCTTCTGGAAAGTGGGGGCCATGGCAGTCCATTTGGGCCTCTGGTGTCTCCCAGGAGCTGTGTCCCTTCAATAAAATTTCCTACTCTTAGCCTCCATTGTTCCTTAGGATTCATTCGATTTTTGAGGAGCATAAACTTGGTGTATCTGACATCTACCAGGTCAGGAGTTAGAATATTTTCTTTGCCATTTGGAGGTCCAACATCACCAGGGTCTCCCTGTCTAGGGTGGTGGCCCTTCCTGCCAAGGACATTGAGGTTGGTTTGGGGAAGGGACATCAGCTTGGGACACCTGACCTGGGCCCCTGGGAGCCCTGTTGTGGTCTGAACTGAATGAGGGGTTGCCGAGAGGCGAGCTGAGCTCCAGTGTGAGGGATGCATGGGTTACCCCAAGGCCAGCCTGGACTGGGACCCTCACCCCCATGTTCCCACAGGGCCTTTCAGGTGCCTGGGCTGCCCTGGAGCACAATGGCCTTGGACTCTACTTTGTGTGTCCCCCAAGAGCACATAGTCCACTGTCAGGGTCTGCTGCCTGGAGCTTTCCTGTGTGTGACTTTATTAAAACCTGGGGATGGTGAGACCGCGGAACCATAGCAGCGCCTGCCTCTCAAAGCGAGAAGCCCCATCCCACAGAGATGAGGCCTGCAGACACTGTTTTGCCTTCACAGTTGCTGAGGCTGAAGTGGTGTAGAGGAAAGGTGGCCTGCCTCCATCAAGGGCGGGCCCTCAGTTGGCTTGGTGATGCCCAGCTTTGACTTGCCTGACACTTCCCAACCTGGAAGCCAGGACCAGCTGCAGCAGGTTGTCGATGCCCGGACAGGACAAAGGTGGAACCTGGAGATCCAGGTTAGGGCAGGTGTACTGAGTCTTGTTCCTGCTTGGCCCACAAGTGTCCCCAGAATGACAGCCCTGACTCCCCAGTACCAAGGGACGCACTGCAGTCCTGGTGGGATGCACCTTGTACCTGGGGCTTGACTGGGAGATCCTGGGACCCACTTCTTACCCTGAGTCCTCTGCACATTGACAGGCCACCCACCATCCTGCAAACCAAACCAAACACTCCCCAAGTTGAGTCTCCTCAACCTGGCAGGAACTGTGTCTGGAACCACTCGGCAGCTTGGGCAGACAGGGCGCTTGGTTGGCACAGGGCATGACTCCGCCCTCAGCCCTGAGAGTAGGTGGGCTCCTTCCCTGGAGATAGCAGCACTGCAGGACAAGGACTTCCAGCATGGGCTGTGACTGAGTGTGGAAAGGAGCAGAGTTTGGCTTGGGCCCCAGGTCTTGGGGAGAGGGACGGAGATGGCTGGGAAGTGTCCTCAGGTCCCTGTGCCCAACCCCAAGTCCTCAGTCTTAAAAGTGTGCTCACTAGCACAGCCTTCATGGCCAGCACCAGAAATCACGACTCTCAGTGCTCCATGTCAATATTTTAATATTGCTTAATGAACACCTGCAAGGTGAGCTGTGCACAGGACATGCATTTCTCTCTTGTATGCCTTGGGGCTGCTCTCCAGGTTCCCTTTCCCTTCCTGTGTGCGAGTTTCACAGCAGGCTCTTCCTGCTCCTTGGACGTGTCCTGCAGGGCTCCCTCCCGTGGTATGCAGGGCTGCAGGTGCCCTCGGTAATGGCTGTGAGCCAGAGCCGGAAGTCCTGTCTTAGCTCAGCGCTGTTGGAGCACAGCATCCTTCAGCGCTGTGCACCAAGCCTCAGGGCCCTGCCCTGTGGCCACGGGTGCAGAAAGCTGAGGCTGCACCTCGTGGGTGTGATAGGAGGCTGTGCTGCCTTGGATGCCCAAGGTACACAGTGCCTCACCGTGCCAGCTCTGGCCTGTTACCAGGAGGTGTGCAGGGAAGGGGACACCAGGGAAGGGCTCAGCAAGTGAGAGAAGGGTCATGGCCTCTCCAAGGGAGCCCTGCTGAGTGACACAGATAGCTAAGAATCCACCTCCGTGGGCCACAGCTGCCTGTCCCTTTGCCGTCAGCGGCGGTATCCCTGGGTGCCCAGCTCTCAGCCGAGCCTCCTGCTTGTCTCAAAACAGCCCTGTGTGTTTCAGGGTGACCTGAACACCCACTCATCTGGAAACAGAAATTCCCTCTTGAGATGGCAGACGCATACCAAAGCCCCCGAGGCAGGTAGAGCATGCATCTCGGCCTCGGATCATGCAACTGCTACCCCGTGCATTCAGGCTGGGGTTGGTCGGGAGATGCTGGCTGGGTTGCCACACATTCTGATTGTCCCCAGCTACCCAGCATGTGGCATCATGAACCATATAAGTGCGTTCATCATGGGGTCACTGCTGGATGAATTTCAGTCACAGGGGCCCTGGGAGCTCTGTGCTCTGGACCTGAGCATATGGGTGACATCTCTATTTGTGACTCCAGAGGCCGCAGAGGTTGTCACCTGGATGCTGCTCCCAAGAGCAAGGCAAGTGCCAGGGAAGCAGGCCTCTGGCTCTGAGTGCTGGTGGGGGTGGCGCAGTGGGACCACAGTGTCCCCCACCACCATTCCTCCTGCGGGGCAGGCTGCCGTGGCACAGGGCACTTGGCTCTGCTGAACGGGGTCCCAACCTCTAGGTGACAGGGAGCATAGGTCCTTTTACCGAGTCCCCTGCCCTAGCTGGAACAGGACATGGGGAAGAGGGAAGTCTGCTGTGGGCTCTGCCATGCTCACTGGGAGGTGGCCCAGGGCTTCAGGGTACTGGGTGCTGAGTCGGGCTGGCATGCTCCTCACAGGGACCCTGAGAGGCAGCACTGGATGCTGTGACAGGCGTGCAGGTGTCACCTGTTCTTGGGAGTTCCTCAGTCCCCCGATCCTGAGCTGCCTGTGGGGAGGCCGATCTGCATCTCAGGCCAGAGGGCGGGAAGCAGGCACCTTGCCGAGGTTGCTCATCCCAGGGCAACTCATATCCTGAAACACGGGCTGTTGAACCCTGTGTGTTTGGGGGTGACCTGAACACCCACTCATCTGGAAACAGAAATTCCCTCTTGAGATGGCAGATGCATCCCAAAGCCCCCGAGGCAGGCAGAGCAGGCATCTCAGCCTCAGATTTATCCTGTCCTCATCCTTCTGCATCGGCTGCTCCCACATAGGGTGCCTGTGGCCCTGTGTTGGATCGGAGGCCTCACGGCTGGCTGGGGCTGCTGAGTGCCAGGGTTTGGCAGTGGAGGGTGGCAGAGGTCAGTGACAGGAGCTATGCTCTGAGGGAGGCTGGGGGGCCAGTGGCGGTGGGAGCCAGGGAGCCATGACGTTGTGTGCGCTGTCGGTGACAAGGGCTTGGGGAGGAAGCCGATAGCGGCTGTGGATTTCTCTGCCTGAAGTGGAATCTCAATGCCTGGGCCATGGCTATGGGCTCATGGTCCGCATGGGAGTTCCAGACACAGCAGGGCCCAGAAAGCACCTTGCAGTCACTTGTGGTTGCCCTGCTTGGCTCTGGGAGTCTGCAGCCCAGCACAACGGTCATGGAATTGGCTCTCAGGGCATCTGTCCTGCCCCAGACCCACAGCCAGCTTCTGGGTGACCTTGTGAACCTCCCCTGTGATCTGTGGGCAGCAGGGCTGACCCTGCTTGAGGAGCAATGAGTGGAAGCCAGTGCTGATTCACTGCCTGGCGTAGTACCAGGTGCGGGATGGGGGCCTGAGGGTGCTGTGTCCCGCGGTTCTAGCCGTCACCTGAGTCTGGGTGAGCAGCATGTAGCTCCTGCAGGCCAGGGCTGCTTCGGGAGGATGCTAGGAACCGCGCATCAGAGACCAACAGACACCTGGCCCAGAGGGGGCGTGCAGGTCGGTGATGGCCTGGGGTGCAGTGCAGGCTGGGGTGCTGCATGGGTGGGGCCTGTCCTGTAGCGCCCTCACACTTAGTCATCCCGTTCATAGCTGATGGGCTGCAAGGCCTGGGCGACAAGTGTGGCCATCTTCTGGGTGCCTGCGGCAACCACTCTGCGTGACATGAGGTCAAGGGGTCCACCTGGGGAGAGAGACCTATGCCAGTTACTGGGTGGCAGCTTCCCAAGCCAGAGGAGGGGAGCAGCTTGGGGGCAGTGCTGAGTCCCAGGACCCAGGGGTGCAGCGTGCGTCTGGCAGGCGCACAGGGAGGGATGGGCCTCACTGCTGCCCAATGAGCTTGAGCCCAGGGCTCTGAGAGAATGGTAGGTCCCGAGACACTCGGAGACAGGCCAGCTGGCCATGCCTCACTCTGCCGTATCCCAGCCACCCCACTCAATCACCCTGGTAGGCATAGAGGTGTCTAGAGCAGGACAGATGGTGGGCACACTCCAAGTCTCACAGTGCTGACCTCTAAGGGGAAGTTGGCCTGTCACAGGCGACTTGGCTGCTCACCTCTCTCCTAGGCTGCCAGGGCTCAGCCAGGGCCTTGCAGAATGGCAAGAGGACAGGAGGACTCTGGCTACACGTGGCCATGTGCCACACTCCTGGCAAGACCCGGGCGAGAATGGATCCCCTGGGGCCTGGCAGTCTCCATCACTCGGAAATGAGTGACAGGCAGCGGGGAGCACAGACTCACATTCACCCTTGGGAGCCCAGCCCCAGCACCTCTTCTGAGACAGAAGGAATGGGTCACTTTTTGGATCCATTCTCCTAAAGTCCAGCAGGACCCCCAAGCTGGGTACTGGTGCCGACCCAGGTCTGGGTTATGGGGAAGTGCCTAACCTCAAGCTTGGGGTGAAGCCAGATCTGGGGCTCCAGCACTCTGTGCACCCCAATCCTAGCACTCTGTGAGGCTGAGGCAGGAGGATTACAAGTTTGAGCCCAAAAACTTAGCAAGATGCTGTCTCAAAGTAAAATTTAAAAAACATGGAATGTGGTTCAGCATGAGATCTTTGGCTTTAATTTCTAGTGCCACAAAACTAAAAACCAGAAACTGGGGGAGCAAGCCACGTACTGTGTCCACCTCACTGTGGTCCCCTGGGGCCTTGGCGCCCCTGGAACTGGGCAGGGATGTGTGACTCTGGGGTGCTGCTCCAGGCTAGGCTGGGGCCCCACATGGGGGACCATCCTAGTGTTCCTTGCTCTTCTTTCTGTGATGGGTCCCATATGGGGGCCCTTACCTGTTGAGCATGGTGCTTACCTGTTGTGTCCATCACAATGCCTCCTGCCTCTCTGACGATGACTGTGGCAGCTGCCAGGTCCCAGCAGTGCAGGCCAAACTGGTAATAGGCATCGACAGCCCCTGCGGCCAGATGGCAGAGCGCTAAGGTGGAGCTGCCGATGACCCGGACCCTGGAGAGAGAAAGCAGAGGTGGTGGGGCAGGCATGAGGTGTGGTGTTCTGTGTCCTTGGGGAGCAGAGGGTGCAGAGCCATGGGTGGCTCATTAGAGGCGTAGCTGGAAGGCAAAAGTGCACACACTATGTGTGTGCATGAAGGTGTGTGTGTGTGCAGTGTGCGTCCCTCCTGTCACATGCGGGGGCTCTCTCCCCTTTAGTAGGGGCCAACAACTTAGCAAGAACTCCGGAACCCAATTCCCCAAACCCGAGTCCATACCCGTGGGCCTTGGCAAGCAGCAGCTGCTCCATGTTGCCCAGGAGCAGCTTCAGTGTGGCAGGATCACGCTTGGAGCCAATTTCTGTCAGAATCAGGGCCCTGGAGAGGTCTGCAGCACAGAGCCGGGGTGGGGTGGGGGATATGTCAGGCCCAGCCCTCCCTGCAGCCCTGTGCGGCTGCCTCCTCTGCTCAGTGCTCGCCAGGCCTCCCAAATGGCAGAGCCTGAGAGTCTGTGGCCTAGGAAAATCACCACCATTGTCCCACATGGGAATCAGCGACACCAGTGTCACTGAGGCAGGGGAGCAAAGCTGGAGCCCAGCCTGAGCCATTTAAGAACCCTGGCTTCAGAAAAAAGGGGATCAGGCTCAGCCAGGGTATATAGCTCAGTGAGAGCTCCCTGCATTTATTCCCAGTGCCAGAAACACCCAGACAGACACAGACAGACAGACAGACTGACAGACAGACAGACAGACAGACACACACACACACACACACACACACACACACACACACACAGGGACAGAAAATTTGAGGCATTTTTGGAGTGGTGTTAATGCAGACCTTCTTCACCTGCTGGGATCACAAGGATGGAAACTCCCAAGAGCAGGTGCTTCTGAAGCAAGGTCACCTCTGGGAAGGGGGCGTGTGCTTGGAGTCCCTGGCAGCTCCCCAACCATGACAGGAGATGCTGGGCGACGTTGCCAGGATGCAGCGAGGAGCCAGGACTGTGGGGGACCAGATGCAGTCTGCAGCATGCCGCACCCTGTACCCCTGACAGCAGACCTGCCCTGTCTTGCCCTGTCTCAGGCCACGCCAGGTGCTCAGGCTGCAAACGCAGTTGCGCAGCAGCTGGCAGCAGCTAGCATGGCCCTCTCCTCTACCGCCTGACTCGGGATGCTTTCCAGTCCTTGGTCCACAATGCTTTCCCACCATGCAGCCCTCAGCTGGTACTCGAAATGCTTCCAGAATGCCTGGCTGTCAGCTCCTGTGACAGTGTCCCTGAAGAGGGCATTGTCCATCACTGAGGACAGGTGTTTTCCCCACAGCATCACAGGCTTCAGGCCCTGGGCACTCGGCCCTGTTGGCTCCTGGCCTGTGGTGGCTGTGCTCATTCTGGGGTCCCCCGATCCTTCAGGAGCACCCCAGCCTGGCCTTGTGGTGCTGGGTGTACACTCTGGACCACACACATCTGCTGGTGGTCTTGTCATGAATGTGCTCCAATGTCCAAAGCTGCTGGTGATTACTGTGACTGACTCACATGAAAATAGGATCACTTTCTTTACCTTTCGCGTAAGTTCCAGACTGAAGTGATACTGCAGGGAGCCACTTCAGGGCCACGGGTTTTTCTCTCCCTCTACAGCAGGGTAGGTTCTAGAACTCACTAGAGCAAGTAGCACATAGCTCGTGGATGTCCTAAATGTTCACTCACTGTTCACTTTACCATGGCTATTTTTGACTTTGACTTAAATAAGTTTGAAAAATACAAGTCACTTTTGGGGAAAATTCTGTTTAGAATCCTGAGAGGATGTACATCGGCCTCTGGAAGGGCTGAGTCCGCAGCAGGCTTCCCGGTCCTGGGGGAGACCAAGTCGCCCTGGTGACCGGGTTCTCCGGCTTTCATGATGACAGATGGTGAGCTTGAGGCGGACAAGACTCTCTGAGGCTTCCGGTCCCATCCAGAAGTGCCACCAGGGACACTATGTCCCCAAGCAGAGAGGGTCCTCAGTGGGAGACTCTGCCCTCACCGTGGGATCCCCTGGTGCCCCCAGACCTGCAGCCCCGTCTCCCTGGGAGCCCACCTGTCTCTCCCGAGACCCACAGCTGCTGGCCATTGCAGAAGGCACCGTGGCCCCGACGGGCAGAGTACAGCCGCTCCTCCACGCAGTGGTGAACCACGCCGAACTCCAGCTGCGGGTGGGAAGGAAACGAGGCAGTCACTGCCAGACACGGGTGGTCACGGCAACGGTGCTCGGGATGCCCAGAGCAGGGGGCAGAACTGACCCCTCCAGGATGGGGCGGAACATGTCGGCACTAGATTCCCAACTAGACCCGGGCAGGAAAGCAGCATTGTTTTCTTAAGTAACTACATTTTAAAATGCACTAAGGCAAGTGATGGCATATTTGAATTACCATAATCCAGCATTGGTAGTCAAGCATACAGAAAGAACTTCATTCTCAGGAAAGCTTCTTCTTTATGGGGAAGACAGCCTGTGAGTCTAAGCAAAGCCCTCCGGTGCCAACCACAGCAGTGTCAGCCCATGGGGCACTGCCAAAGAAGGGTGGCCCCGGCTGGCGAGGCACACAGCAGCTCACCCCAGAAGTGGGGTCCTAGAAACGGTCTCCAAGGGCTAAGTGGCGAAAGGAAGAGGAGCACTGAGAACCACAAGGGGTCCCCAGCATGCTAGCCCTTTCCCATTCTGTGACCTCTCACAGCCTGCTCTGTCCCTGGGCAGGTCCCCAGCCAACAGCAAAGGGGTCAGGCACCTGCAGCTCTCAGCCTGACCATGGCCTGGGTCGAGCAGTGCCTGGGGCCACATGAACCCCATCACTGGGCACTGTGCTGGGGACCCGAGAGCAAGAGAGGAAGGGCAGGGCCAGCCTCTCCCCTGGTGGAGGCTGCAGCTCTGCTGTAAGGACACTGGCCGGACCAAGGACCCAGCTGCCACCATTCCTGCCACTGGGAATGGGGGTCTTGGCTGTCACCCCCAGTGCTGTTGGCCTCCTGGCCTCTGTGGTGTCATTGAGCAGACACCAACCAATCGCTAACTTCTTACTGAAGTTGGGTACTAAAGTTCTACTGATGCCAGAGGAGACTTTGGGGTGTGCGGGTCTTTGTTTCCCTGCTGGGGTGTCTGTGAGATACCGAAGATGAGGGTGACAAATACTGCTCCAAGGGCTGCTTTTGTGACCCCAGTTCCTCAGCCCCATTTGTACAGAACTGTGGAGCCTGCAAGGGGTCAGGCTCTTCAGGGTGCAGGATAGGCAGGGCCCAGCTTCCCCAGAGTCTGAGGTCTCAGGAGGCCCCTGGGAACCCAGGAGGAGTCCCATTCTCATGCTAATAGCCAGGGGATTAGAAAGAACCAGTGAAATGTGGAGATGAGAGCTGTTGCCAAAAATAGGAGTCCCTTTCTATCTGTGACAAGGTCACACACTCTAGGGCCAGCGAGACACTGGCGTGGCCATCTGCTTGGAATGTGGTCTCCCCTTGCAGCCTAAAGTCCACGTGAAGACAGGGCCTGCCCAGGACACCCACACAGCCCCACACATTGTGAGCCCGGGAACACGCTGGGCCTCCTCCCTGTCAAGGCGCTTGGTGCAGGCAAGCAGGAGTGAAGGCAGAGGCTGCGGCAGGCCCTCTGCATACCTCTCTGTGGACGGCGAAGCCAATGCTGACTGCCACGTCAGGGAACCTGTAGGGACAGACAGTGCACGTGACCCAGGGTGTCTGCTCCAGAATCCACATACCGCTGCTCCCAGGCACACAGTCCTTTCCACATGCTGCTGGGTTTGTTTTTGAAAACAACTTCCTGCCACTTAGGGTAACGGTGTCCTCTACCAGTCTCATGGTAAGATGGTCAACTGCCAAACGGCTATGTCCTGAGCACCACACGAGGGGCCCGAGTGCTTTAGCAGTGACCCCAACACCAGGGAGGTGGGGAAGTGGTGGGCACAGATGCCCGGGGTTGGGGTCTGAGCGTTGGCACCTCCATTCAGGGGACACCTGTCCCTGCCCCTGTGCCTACCTGTGTCCCCTAAAGCCTGGCACAGGCAGGCACAGCACAGGGTGGCTTTTGCTAGTGTGCTTGTGGTTGTATTTTGTGGTTTTGTTGTTTCTTCTCAAAATAACTTCTCTTATGTAAAGAATGCTGGAGCACAAAAACAAGAAAGCATGAGGAAGGGTCAAGAGCTGCAGACTAACAGGCAGCAATGCAAAAGCAGAGTCATGTGAACAAAACTCTGTCCTGGGTGCATGGGAGGGCTGACAGGCCAGGCTGGGCCCGCCTCTCCGAGCGCTTACCATGTGGCTAGCATCCAGCACAGTGCTTGGCCTGGCTCTAAACATGTGGTGACAGTTGAGGCCACAATGAGGGCACATTGGGACACTTATTCTCCCAGCCCGTTTCCAGTCGTGTTCTTTCCCTGCAGCCTCTCTGCCCCACTCCTGAGGGCTGCAGAGGGAGCCAATGGAAACCACGGGGCTGCCAGGGTCCAGGAGAGGCCTTTGGGTGGAGGTGTGGCCTCTCCCCTAGGTCAGGCTTAGCCAGCAGCATCTCTGCTCTGGGCACCAGGGGAGACGAGGGGGTCCTGGGACCTCCCCAGGTCTGCAGCTCAGTTTCCTAAGCCCTGCCCTCCTCACAGGGCTTAGGGCCCTACTGGTGGGCATGGTTCCAGAGGGTGCTTCTCACAGGGGCCCTTCTCAAATCCAAGCAAACATTTGAAGTGAGACTGCCTTCCTATTCTGGAAACCTCTCACATGGAAACCGAAGATGCCGAGCTATGCCTCTTTCGCTGAGCCTGTGCACTTCCTCCTGGGCTTGTGCACCCTGCTTTCAGCCCACCACTGTGGAGATACAGAGAAGGGTGAGGATAGGGCTTGCAGAAGCCATGCCCACCTTGCTCACCTGTGCACAAAGTTGCAGGTACCGTCGATGGGGTCGATGATCCAGGTCGGGCTGGTGGTGAGCTCACACTTTGCCCCAGCGGCTGTGGCCTCCTCTGCAATGAACCTGCCATGGAGAATCAGCCTGAGAAGATGGCCAGGTGCATGAGGCCAGCGCAGAGTTTTCAGGGTGGTTCGTGGTGTGAGCCAAGGTGGAGTTGTGCTCTCCAGTCATGGCTCTGTGAGACTCAGGGAGGCAGTGGGGTGTGTGTGTGTGTGTGTGTGTGTGTCTCAGGGCAGCATATGCAGGGCCCAGTTCCTCCATCCCAGCATCAGACAGACAGACAGACAGACAGACTGACCGACCAGAGGGACACTGTGCATGGGCATTCTTGGAGGGCCGAGGCCTGCAGTAGGCCAGTGTGGGGATGTGACAGTACAGAGCCAGTCACAGGTCTCGCAGGGCACAAGCTCACTGTGCCCCTAAGCAGGAGGTGTGAGGGGTGCAGCCTGCAGGGTTGTGGCTCTCCTGCTTCAGTGCAGTGACCATACACAGAGGGCTAACTGCTGCCTGCAGGTCACACAGACACAGGTGGCCATGATGCTGCCCCCTGGCTCGAGGCCCCCCATCTTCCCTGGCCATGCCTTCCTTCCACCTCCCTGGGTTCAGCTTCCCTGTAGAGAAAGCAGGGTGGGGGTTAGGATTTCACTGCCTATGCTGAGTCCCCATGGAAGTCTCCCTCCAGGGCACTCCTGTCCCAGGGACACAGCTCTGCTCAAGCCTCCTATCCCTGTACTCTGCAGCAGGCCCTGGGCCCCTCTTCCAATGCTGTCTCTACAAATGGTTACTCTCAATGTCCCTAGCACTCTGGCCTTTAGCAACCAGGATGGCCTTGGGCACTGTGTGGACATAGCATGCACACAGCACCTCCCTCAGCCCCTGGAGAGACCTCACACCTGCAGGCTGGGCACTAGACAGATGAGGCCAGGTGGTACCACAGCCCTAGAGAGGTGAGAAAGCCACAGCCCAGGACCGCAGTCAGCCCAAATTCAAACCCCATACTTGGCTCCTGCACTCAGCATCTCCTCCTCGGCTGCCTTCCCTCTCCTTATCCTCTGGGTACAGGCCCTGCCAGCTGGGTAGAGCCTGGTTCGCCCCAGACAGGGCTCCATGGACACCCAGGCTCCAGGGCACCCAGACTGGCCTCTGCCACTTTTCCCAGCCAGACACTTGAAAACGTGGTCTGTTCACACTGCCTTCTTCTGTAGCTACCCAATTTTCTTTTCCTGAAGCAGCTTGCAATTGTGTTTTAAAAGAGAACAGTTCATACCCCCAAAACTCATGCCAAGCGCATGCCACATCCCCACAGGTGTGAAGGCACCAGTGCCCACGCTGGGCATGAGGCTGATCAAAGCAGAGAAAAGAGGAGGCAACAGAGATGACTCTTACAAGAGATCGGCTCCTAGGAAAGGGGCAAGGGATCAGCCCTTTTCCTTTTAAACCTCACTGGGGAGGAGCTGGGGGATTACTGGTCCCAGAAGCGGGAGGGAGCACATGTGAACAGACACCGAGGTGACATGGCCCCTGGGAGCAAGTCTACAACTTCTCAGGAAACACAGGTCCAGCTCTGTGCCTGCTGATGACACTGCAGCATGGGTGACACTGATGGGGTGCTCGCAGCGCCACCTGATCCCTGGCTGTCACTGTCCCCCTCTCAGCCTGTGTCGCTGAAGGTGGAGGCTGAGGTGCACCCCTTGTCCTGCTCACTGCACCCTTGCAGGCAGCAGTCTTCAGCCAGGCCCATCTGGGCACCTAGAAAGCCCCCACAGTGGGTGGAATGCGGCAGAGCTTCTGAGTACAGAGCATGGCTTCATGGTGGGAGTGAATGCCTGTGCAGCAGGACTTGGCTGTGGATGAAGGTGTGAGCATGAAGCACAGCTCCATAGTGCACCCTGAAAAATCCAAGGTGTGAGCCTAACCCTGAGCTAGAGAACTGTGCCTGAAACAGCTCCAACAGAGGCAAGGAGAAAGGCCTAACCCTGAGGCGGCCATGACACATCTTCAGGGCTACTTTGCCAAAATTACAGCCGAGGAAGCTCAAAGGCTTAGGATAAAGGTCCCGCCTCTGACAGGTGACAGGCAAACAACTACCAACATACTGCTTAAGGGACATTTACTTTTTTTGGTCTTTTTCGTTTTTATTGGTACTGGGGATCGAACTCATGACTGCCTGCTTGCAAGGCAGGCACTTATGCTGCTGAGCTAAATCCCCAGCCCCTAGGGGACATTTACTTTGGAAACAGGAAAGTTACAGCATCCTATTTATAATATATATGCATTTTTCTCTTATTTGACATGTATCAGTTTGGCTGCACGCTAAACAGGACTAGAATACCCACATTCTAGTCCTGCAAAATCTTAGCTGTGGTCAGAAGCCCTTTATTACAATGTTTTGGCAAACCGAGCCCTGGCCTCAAGCCTTGGTCTGTCACAGCCCGAACCTTGAAGCCCAGGGCTGCCTGGGAATGCCAGGGCCTGGGGCCGAGTCACTGCTTCCCAGATGCCTGTGTGGCTACTGCCCATGAGAACCCTGCTGGACCTGTTGAGCTGCTTTCGGGAGAGGCCGCTCAGCACATGCTCTCTCTGGGGTCCTCTGTGGGTGCTGGGGACCACTGCAGGGTTTCTGAGGTGGGCTGCACTGTTCAGGGCCTTCTGGGGACAGAGGTGGCCCAGAGGGGCTGCAGGGAGCCCCGTATGCATGGCCATGGGGCGAAGCAACAGAAGAAAGGATGAAGAGCTGTTCTGTATCCCTGCGATGAGGGCTGGGGTCCACATCTGTCTTGGGGGGCCTGTGACACTCACCTGTGCGAAGGAAACTGCTTTCGCAGCTCAGAAACTATCAGATCTTCCACGAGGCGGTCAGTCTCTGTCACAAGATCTGCCGCAGATGTCTTTGTTGAGACACGCTTCTCCTCAGTGAGGGCCTTGCTGATGATCTAAAACAACGTTCTGAGGCTGTTAAACCTGCATGTGCCCTCCTCCCAGCCTGACACGGTGCCCTCTCGGCGGGAGCCTGAGTCACCGTTCAGTGTCATTCCCAGGACAGCACAGACCTCTGTTGGGGGCATTCTGCCCTGCCATGCAGCAGGTTTCCCTCGGAGTTCGGGATAGGGCATGACATTTCATGACAGGATCTGTGCTTCACTGCCACCCGTGAAGGTGAAGGTGAAAATGTCCCCAAATTCACATTATAACCCCAGGTGGGGTATGCTTGTAAAGCCACACTCCTCACACCAGGTACCAGGACAGACAGACACGCCTCCAGGATGCCAGGTGGGCGAGGTTCCTGGGGCTCTGTGCCCGCTGTGTAATGTGTGAGCTGCAGCATGTCCTGGCCTGGCCCATGCTGGGGCCAAATGCAGGGTGCAGGCTGGGCTACCTCTGCACCTGAGCTGGGATGGGGCTTCACCATGCAGGCAGTCACCCTGGATGGAGGCCAGGAAGGAGCAGGCCGGCTTGCAGTGAGAGCCGCCCCCACTGCCCCGGCCCCTCTTTTCTTCCTAGCCAGCCTGCTGAGGCAGTGAACAGCAGGGAGCTCAAAGTCAGGACCCTTCATCCTTTCTACCCTGCTAGACCCTGGATTTCCCACTGCCCAGCCCGCCATAAATCCCTTGTCTCTAAAGCTTGGGGAAGGCACATGCGTGGGCCAGGACTGTGTTCTGTACTGACGACCCCAGGCAGGGACTTTGGAGAA